AATATTTGTTGAACTTTTTTTATGAAGTAAACCAAAAATGTCCCCAAAATTTTAGTCATTGTCTATCAGTTGAGTTTCATTTATCTCAGACTGCAATTCTCACTGTCTTAAGTTTCAAGTATCTGTGAAATGAGTCTTTGCGGGTCAAACAGAATACCCGAGGCCGTGATGACACAGATTATAAGACAACCACCTCACTGGTTAGAACTTGTACATTTATTTGTAGTTTGCTAACCCATTTAGAGCCACTAAAGTTTCTTCTCAAATCTGCTTTCATTTGGAACGAGGATTTGAGATGGCTGTCCATTTAAGTAGTTTCATCACCTTTTTGTTTTCATATTTTGTTTGTTTGTTTGACACAAGGTCTCACTGTGTATCCAGGAATTCAAGGCAGTCTTCCTGTCAGCTTCCCAAGTGCTGGAATTACAGGCATGCACCATCACACCCAGCTTTTATTATCTTTTTTATTTTAAAATCTGTATTTTCTTTTCAGCGGAAATATGATGAATCAGTCACTAATACTCATGGAGAATTGGTAATCATATGCTTGGTTTCACTTTCCTTGTCTGTGTTCTCTAATTAGAATTTTTTTATTACAAATCAGTTAATTCTAGATAACCAGTTATGAACCATTAGCTCTATTAAAGTTAAAACTACTGATCTTATCTCCAGTACAATGTTTTGCTGATATGACATTGAAAGCATAATGGCTTCCATTTGCATGCTTTTGTTTAGTTCATATCCACCTGCATTATTTTTTTGTTTGTTTGTTGAGACAGGGTCTCACTATGTAGTTGAGACTGACCTGGAACTCATTGTGTAGCCCAGGCTGATCTCGAACTCACAGCAATCCTCCTGCCTCAGCCTCCTGAGTGCTGGGATTACAGGTGGGAGCCACCACAACTGGCCCACTTGCATTATTTGATTTGATCTTTGTGTGTTTGAGTGTGTGTGTGTGTGTGTATGGTACCAAAGGTTGAACTTGGAACCTTGCCCTTGTGAGGCAGGTGGCAGAACCACTGAGCCAAATCCCTGGCCCCTATTTAATTTGATCTTTACAGGCAAAGCAGGTCTTCCAGACAGATGAGAAAGTCCAGACCCAAAGAGATCGCAAGTTACTTACTCATTTGGCAGTGATAAATGGCAGAGCCATTCAGTTTGTGACTTAACCCAGTCCTTTTTCTTCAGTTTTTGGTTCTTCATTCTCTGCTGTGCCACCTTTCTCTCTGTCTATTAAATATTTTTGTTTGGGAAGCTTAAAAGCTATCATAATTATTTAAGCAATATCTGTTATTTATTTTAGTCCCCTTCATGGATTATTTACTTATTTATTAATTAATTTGCTTGTACTAGGGAGTAAACCCAGACCCTTCACACTGAGCTCTACATTCCCAGCCTTTTAAAGATTTTTTTTTTTTTTAATTTTGAGACATGATTCTACAAAGTTTGCCTGGCCGGGCTTGACTTTACCATCCTTTTGCCTCAGCCTCCCAGAGTGCTGGGATTATATATAGGCATGTGCTACCCATGCTTGGCTCCATGAGGTTTTTTTGTTGTTTGTTTATTTTTGCTTTTATTTTATTTTTTTTTTGAAACAGGGTCTAGCTATGTAATTTAGGCTGGTCTCAAACTCACTGTGTAGCCCAGGCTGGCCTTGAACTCGAGGCAATCCTCCTGCCTTAGACTCTTAAGTGCTAGGATTACAGGTGTGTGCCACCACGCCTGGCTTCCATGAGTTAAAGTATTGAGTTTAGTCTTCTGCCGCTCTATCCTCTTCTGCCCTGTTCATAAAAAAAATTATTTGTAAGGCCGGGGATTTAGCTCAGTGGTTCCACCAACTGCCTTGCAGAGCACAAGGTCCCGAGTTTGATCCCTGTCCCCCACCCCCCCCAAAAAAAAAGTAAAAGGAAAGACTTCTGTTTCTACATTATACTTAATTGACTTTGTTATAAAAAATGTTGATAGTTTTATGACTTTGGAATAAGGAAATTATTTTTCCAAGTGTTCCCACATTTTTTACACGACAGTACTAAAGAACCTTTATTTCCCCTCATATTGAGGATTGTACCCAGGACCTCATACTAGGCAAGTGTTCTACTACTGAGCTACATCCCCAGCCCTTAAAAGAACTTTCTTAGCCGGGTGTGGTGGCGCACGCCTGTAGTCCTAGCACTCAGGAGGCTGAGGCAGGAGGATTGCTGTGAGTTTGAGACCAGCCTGGGCTACACAGTGAGTTCCAGGTCAGTCTCAACTACATAGTGAGATCCTGACTCAACACCTCCCCCCGCAAAAAAAGAATTTCTTACTCATTACTGACATCATTTCATGAAAGATGTGTGTTGGATCTTCCTCTCTTTTATTTGCACATGGTAGGCGACTGTTCTATTGCTGAGCTACATTCTCAGCCCCTTTTAGATTTTATACAAGTTTTATTAGCTTTCTTTTATAAGATATGCTTTTTTGTTAACTTTTTAAAGTTGAAAATCTTAAGGTTTGAAAGTAAGTATATAAATCTTGAATTGTTAGTTTCTAGACTCTTCATTATGTAGTGTCTCCCTGAGTCAAGGAGGAGATAAGTGAAAGTCTGTGAGTGAGGACCTGAGTAGACGATTTCCAGACTAAAGTTGACTGTGGTCTTGGAGATGGGGGGGGGGCTTTAGTAACCATAGTAACCAAAGACAGGTGTTCTGGATGATAAATAGGAATAAGCAAAAGAAATCAGTGAGGTAGAGAATAGAAAAGAATTTTTTCTGACTTGGAGTTGAGGGCTTAACTGAAGTGACTGTAATGTTACATAGGCTCACCTCACTATTTAAGTGAATGTGGGCCTGGAAGACCTCCCTCAGGTTTCGTGTATCCTCATCATTTTGTGCTCATCTTCTCCGTGTCAGACTGGTCCTCAGGAAAGAATGAGAGTTGGAAATCAAGCTAGACCTTGACTTTCAGAGTCCCCTTTTGGAGCTTAGGTTCTTTTATTGTTGTTTTTGAAATGGGGTTTCGTTATATAGTTTAGGCTGGCCTTGAATTCAGCAGTCCTTCCCACATCAGCCTCCTGAATTCTGGGATTACAGTTGTGCATCACCGCACTTGGCAAGGAGCTTAGATTCTTCTAGACGTTGCTAGAAAATGTCTTATTTTTGTTTGGTTTGGAAGAGAGGCTCTAGAGGTTGGGAAGAGGAAGACCTCTTTGTTATAAAATTTGGATTAAGCCAGGGATTTAGATCAGTGGTTCTGCTGCCTGCCTCACAAGCACAAGGTCCCAAGTTTGATCCCTGGTACCAAAAAAAAGTTTATAAAGTTTGGATTAATCAAATAATCATAGTCTTTGATTAAAATTGTAATAATAAAAAGCCAGGTGTGGTGGTGCATGTCTGTAATTTCAGCACTCAGGAGGCTGAGGCAGGAGGATCTTTGTGAGTCCAAGGCTACATAGTGAGTTAAGTACCAGCCTGAATTACATAGTGAGACCCTACTTCAAAACACCCCTCTACACACACAGTGTACTCATAAAAGAAGAACCCTTCCTCAAACCTAAATTGAAAGATAGAGTCAGAGAGACTATGAATGAATAAGAGCAGGAGAAAATGTTAGCTTTGCCAAGTAGAGATGTAGGATCACCTCTGTTCTAGGTGTATTGGACCTTCATGAAGCACTTAAAGATTTCTTTTATTCAAATTCTGTGCATTTGTGGCCAGGAAGGAAAAGGCAGGCTGGACACCTAATCTGAAAACCAAGATAAATTGCTTTATGGGTTATAATGGGGGAGGAAGTTCTTTGAAGTGATGTATATTGTTACAGTGCTTTTTTATTTTTTATTTTTATTTTTTGTTTTTTTGAGACAGGGTCTCATTATGTAGTTGAGACTGACCTGAAACTCACTATGTAGCCCAGGCTGGTCTCAAACTCACAGCGATCCTCCTGCCTCAGCCTCCCTAGTGCTGGGATTATAGGCATGCGCCACCATGCACGGCTTTACAGTGCTTTTTAAAAAGCTTAGTGTTTTCTTTTTTCGTTTTTTGTTTTTTTGAGACGGTTTTGCTGTTTTAGTTTAGGCTGGTCTTGAATTTACTGTGCAGCCCAGGCTGGCCTTGAACTTGCAGCAATCCTCCTGTTGGGACTATATAAGGTGTGCCCCACCACGCCAGGCCAAAATTCTTGCATAATACAGATTTTAAGCCTTTCTTGCTCTATATAATACTTTATCCACCTTGAGTTGCTTTTTACTTATGCTATCTTTTATGTTAAAGTAATTTTGATATTAATCTTTTTCCTTGTTCCAGGCTTTGAAAATGGGAAGAGAGCACCAGGATTTGAAATCTCTTTTTTTTTTTAATGATAGCAAAACTACTTTTTTTTTTGGTACCAGGGATCGAGCTCAGGTCCTTGCTCTTGTGAGGCAGCTGGCAGAACCACTGAGCTAAAGCCCCAGCCCTACATTTTTTAGGAAAAGAAACAGGTTCTGTAGTGCAGATTTGGGCCAATACATGTAGGAAAAGGAATACGGCATGAGGGTGGGCTGCTGTGAAGAGAGACGGTAGCCCAGGACTTGGAAACTTACGGTGAAGAGGGTTGTGAGAGTTGGCCTCTCTTCTCCCTTACCTAGGAAGGAAGCCTGAGGAGTACGCACACTTGACGTCCGTCGTAGGTGGAGTCACGATAACTGGTAGCAGAATTTAAGCCGAGGCTGACTTTCCCAAGTCTTCTTCCCTCCTCCTCCTCAGCCATTTCTAATAAGCACCTTATTTAAATTTAGAATGAAAATGAAAGACTTTGTCTTTTAGTTGACAAAGGCTCTTCACTGTCTTACCATAGATTATATACTTTGTGGAGATTTGCTTCTTGTTAGCATACTCTTACAGCTTCTTATACTTACTGAAAAAAAATACCATTGTTTTATTCATGCTCAATTTTTAAAGTCTAGAACCACTCTGAGAATCAAAGTATTGTTCCCTCTTAGCATAAAAAAAAAATCTCATTTTGACCACTCTTTTGCCTAACAGGAAGCCCGCAGACCTGCAGAACTTGGCTCCCGGAACCCACCCACCGTTTATAACGTTCAACAGTGAAGTCAAAACAGATGTCAATAAGATTGAGGAATTTCTTGAAGAAGTCTTATGCCCTCCCAAGTGAGTATCAAATAAAATACGCTTGGAAATATTGCTGCGTATTTGAAGCTTTGGCTTGTCTTTACAGACCTTAAATTGGCCAGGGCCTTGCTCTAGGTTCCTTACAGTTAATGCTAGTCATAATTGGCTTCTTGCTGGGGTATAGGCCGTGGTAGCAAAGGTAGGAGCCTAAACTTGAAATAACATGGCAAAAGCAGGTTTAGAATATTTGAGATAGATTAGAAAGATCTGGTTATTTGTGGGCAGTTAGTCCCAAAGTGAGAGGGTTCAGGAAAGAGAAAGGATGGAAAAGACAAGGGTCCCTGAAGCAGCCTGAATGTCGGAGCCGGCGAGTGGTACCCTGAGCTGTGGGATTTGCTCTTAATCTGAAAGGTAACTTTCTAAAGTACAGTCTGAGTCCAGGGGAATTGCGTTTTTACACTCTATCCTTAGGGTTCATATTTACCCACTTCTTTGAGAAGTGTCAGATCTTCAAGTGCACTGTAATGGTTGCTACATAAATTTGCATACTATTACAAACTTGGTATTGGTTCAGAGCATTATTACTTGTAGGTTTTTCTGGTTTCCTTATCTTAAAGAATAGCATGTTTCTTTTCCTCTGACCCAAGCTTTTCCTGCTGCCTAAATATGACTTTCATGGAACCTCCATGTCCAGATATTTATGCTATGAATGGGATTATCATGGGAGAGGGCCCTAAATTAGTTGCTCAATATTCATCCATGCATTCATTTATTCCTTCACTGGGGTAAAAGACAGACCAGATATACTGAATAAGATGGTTCCTGCCCTCAAAAAGCACAGTGAGATATGAGTGGAGAGTCGTGTGGGGATGAGGTATAATGAAAGGCTTTAGATGGGGGCAGCACTTGAGTAAGTCTTACTTAGGAAGGAAAGGAGGGCTGGCGGGATTAGGGAGGAGGTGTGTTAGGGCAGACAATCATTTTGAGTAACTGTTTCTTTTGGTGACCTAGAAGAATGGCTGGAGCGTGATATGCAGGATTAGGAAAGGCGGGCAGGATGGTGGCAGGAGAAGCATGAGGAACCCTGCCTTGTCTCCCACCAGCCTATTGTCTGCTGTGAGCAGAATTCCTGGCTGGTTAGCAGTTTTGGGCTCAACCTGAAATTGTGTTCTCTCCACCTGTTTTTATACTAATTAGAAAGTTTGTCTCCTGCTTTCCTTTTTAAGTGCCTGACTTTTTTCATCTCTTTTCTAGGAGTCCTATCTTCTTTTATTTCCAATAAAGTGAGTCCAGACCAGCATTAATACCACTGTATCTTAGGGTTAGGGTTATTGCTCAGTGGTAGAGTTCTTGCCTTGCAAACGCAGTCTCCATTACATACTAGAAAAAGCAACAACAAAAACCTTGGTATCTTAATTTTTCCTCTAGGATAGGCATATATTTAGAATAGCAGTAAATGAAACCAGAACTTCTTAGAAAATGTGAAGGCTTACACACCAGTAAGGAACTATTAGGAACATGTATTCAACTTAGTGGGAATGACTTTTAGAAGATTGTTCAACAAAAAGCCTACAAAAAAGATCTCTTTTTTTTTTTCTTCTATCAGCTGTGAGGAGAACTCTGTATTTGTCAACTTGTCCTCTGACCCTGATTGAAAGTGGTCTGCTCACCAGGGTTTTAACTCATTGGCATCATGCCTGCCTCGCAAGTGCACAGTCCTGAGTTAGATCCCTGGTACTGGGAAAAAAAAAAGTGATCTGCTCATGTACCCATGGATCCTTATATGGACATTAACTCATATGTAAAGAAGCAGTTTGACTCACTCGTTTTCTGTGAGGGAAACTTTTGTTCTAAAGCATTGACTGAAGTGGTTATTGTCTGAATTTTTCCAACTGTATTTTAAGTTTTTAAAATTAGTGGGCTCATAATAAACATACCACTTTAGTTAAATGGACATTCCCTCATGTTATTAGTCTTCAACAGCAATAACAACAAATCAAAAATTTTATTATTTCTTGTTATTTTTCTTGGAGGAAATAGAGTTAACATCAAAATGTTCTGGGTTCTTGGCCCTCCAGTGTTCTCTAAGATGTTGTTTTTAATTGGACCTTCAAAGTGAACATCTCTATATAGAAAGTAATACTGTTTGTTTGTTTGTTTGTTTTATTTATTTTTTGGTGTTTTGAGACAGGGTCTCACTATGTAGTTGAGACTGACCTGGAACTCACTATGTAGCCCAGGCTGGTCTCGAACTCACAGTGATCCTCCTGCCTCAGCCTCCCAAGTGCTGGGATTACAGGCGTGCAACACCACGCCTGGCCTAGAAAGTAATACTTCTTAATAGAAATTTCAGCCCAATTTGGGCGAATTCATAGACACTATAATCAGAGATGAAAAGTGTTCACAAAGAGCGAAATTCTCAGGAATTTGTCTTTTTATGCTGTGGTTTATATTCTGAAGAGTGTCTGAAAGGCTTTACTTCACATGGAAGGGGTTATTTAGATGTTACTAGTGCCTGTGCTGTTACCAGTAATGCTCAAGTACGGTTCTGTGCCGCACACTGTTTTGTGGATGATGTCAGTCCTCACAGAGGTGTCACAAAGGGGAGTAATCCACATAACTTGTCCATGATCTCACAGTTAGTGCCGTTACACCTGGAGTTCCAGGTTCACTGGACATTAAAAGCGTGTTTCCTGTTTTCTGCTCTTTCATTTCAGTGGGTTGAGATTCTCTAAAAGGAAGTCTTTATTTGAGGCTGTCTTCAGTGCGTACAAAATTGGAAGATAAATCAAGTTTAGAGGAAGGACAGGAGAGAAGTCAAAGATAGTTTTTGTGATAAGCAGGTGAATTTTGGAACAGTTCAGTGAATGCTTTGAAAGCACAGGCAAGGTTTTCCTTGATTTATGTGCATATTGGAACTGCACGTTTGGAGGTGCTGCGCCTCTCCTTCAGTGGACTTTGCAGCTGCAGTGCGGAATGTTGACAGAACAGCTCAGCCTCTTGAGGAGTGGGAGGAAGTGTTTCCCGAGCTGCTGCTGATGTCCCTTGCTCTCTCCTCTGTTGTTCTCTGAGACCTTCCTGTCTCACTCACTGCTCTTTCTCTCCAAGACAGTGATAGTAATGGTGAACCTTTTATAGCTGAGTGTCCAAAGCGCAACCCAAAACCCACTTATTTATCTCAAAGTGCCCGCACTGCAATTCAACCTGAATACTGAGGTTTTAGTTTAGAACAAACAACTCGCACATTAGCTTCTTTTGTTTTAAAAGAAAAACAAAAAAACATTTGCTGTAGGTTCGCCACCACTGCTCTAGGAAGTCTTTACCTATTGCTAATCCCCAACCTATGCTGCTGGGAAAGCCTTCTTGTTTCTTGATAGTTTGAAAAGAGGCAGAAATTTGTACAGGTTGGTAGATTGGGATCTAGTGTTTCTGTGTGATTTTGGCCGTAAGCAAATAGAACATGTTTGTGTGAATAAATAACGGCAAAAACAGGATTTTGGTGTAGTTCAGGCCAGCCTTGAACTCACTATGTAGCCCAGGATGGCCTCCAAACTTGTGGTGATCCTCCTACCTCAGCTTCCCGAGTGTTGGGATTATAGGCATGTGCCACCTTTCTTGCAAATCTTTATTCTTATCTGTTCACCAAAATAGGACTCTAGCTAGAACATTACGGTTTTTATTTGTACCTGGGATCAAACTTGGGTCCTTGCACTAGGAATATTTACGTATTTTTAAAGTTGCAACTATGCTTTGTGCTCATGATTATATCTCCAACACTTAGTACACTGCCTGGAATATAGTAAATACTTAATAAGTGTAAAAATAAATATATGCGTGAATAATGAATATATAAGTGACATGAAATTCAGGCCTGCCTTTCTGAAGGTTTTTTTTTTATGGTTAAGTTGCTTAATTAGAAAAGTGTATGTAAAGCTAAATAATGGTTGAGAAGAAAGAGTTTTGGAAACTTGTTTAGCAGGACAGACAGATTACCAGAGAAGCACCTCACTGTGCGTGGTCTCTGTCCTACTGTTTCCGCCCTCACACTGCTTTGGGTGATCAAGACGCTTGAGCAACCCGGTCCATTTTCCAGCCATCAGTCACTGGTGCTGCATGCAAGGCTTGCTCAGTGCATGGCATACTAAGGGTCTGGCTGCTGTCCAGTGATGACCAAGTACTGGAAATGTGACCAGTGCAACTGAGAAGTGAATTTTTAGTTTTATTTAATTGTATTCACTTATGTTTGTACTCACGTAGCTCCATGGCACTAATGGCTGCTCTAACGAACAGTGAAGAACACTGCCATCATCACAGAAAGTCCTGGACAAGCACTGCTTGAGAGATCTCAGATGCGGGTTGGCCTGGCACAAATCTCTCAACAAGCGAACTGCCTTCCTAGCATTCTAAAAATCAAGCGGAGGGTGGAGTTCAGATGCCCTTCAGTTGCCGAGAATATTTAATATGTGAACAAAGTACTAAATATACAGCTTTGTTTCCTAAGGGAAAAAGTGTATTTAAAAATGTCATAGAAAACAGATGATGGCATTTCTTAGAATAGTAATTATTAGAGGCTGTCTAGTAACTGTTGGCATAAATGGTTTGTTGGTTGGGTGAATATGCTAATGCATCTTTGAAAGATCTCTAATCCATTATCTCTTTTTCTATTTAGGTACTTAAAGCTTTCACCAAAACACCCAGAGTCAAATACTGCCGGAATGGACATCTTTGCCAAATTCTCTGCTTATATCAAGAACTCAAGGCCAGAGGCAAATGAAGGTAAAAACCAAAAAATATTGAATTGGTGTTACTACAAAACACCTGAACAATGAAAAATTATTATTATGACAGTGATTATACATGACTACTTTGAAGTCTAGAGATTACTCCAAGTATTTTTGTTTTTGTTTTTTTCAGACAGCGTTTTACTATTATAGTTCAGACTGGCTTTGAATTCAGTGTGTAACCTAGGCTGATCTCTGATCCTCCTGCCTCAGCCTCCCCGCTGCTGGGATTCTAGACATATGCCACCATTCTGAGTACCCAAAAACAAACAGACACCCCATACTGTCTTTCAGAGTTGATGAGGGCTAGGGATTTAGCTCAGTGGTTTCGGCACCTGCCTTGCAAGCATAAGGACCCGAATTTAATCCTTGGTACAAAAAAAAACCTTTCAGAGTTGATTAGAGATTTGGTGATAAACTGGGGTAAGTCATTACATTGATGATGTGTTTCTAGCTAGTGGCCCATTACTGATGTTTAGTGAGTGAAGCTGTTACATGCTTTTGAGAAGTTACTATGAATGGAGCTATGCAGAGAATTAGGGATGAATAAACAATAATGGTTATGTGGTTGTGGTTTGAAATACATTTGATTTAGCCTGACCTAAGCTGTTATTACATCTTTTGTTTATTGTTGCACACCAGCAGCCTCAAATCAGTGTGAGTGATTTTTTTGAACTAATTATCCTCAAAGAGCAGTTTTTGGAGTTGCTTTCCGAAATTAATTAGACTCAACCCTTCAAATTCCCCTCATAAAAGTAGAATGTTTGTTTCAGGTCATATATCCATGTGAGAATTATTTAGTACAGATGCCATTTTTTAATTTATTAAAAGATACTTTATGGGCCAGGGATTTAGCTCAGTGGTGCTGCCGCCTGCCTAAGAAGCTCAAGGACCTGAGTTCGATCCCTGGTACCAAAAAAAAAAAAGATGCTTTATTTCATTTACCAAATTCATGTGTTGTGAAGGGAACATTTCCTTGAAAACAATCCCTTACAATAGCCTGTCTTAACTACACCATTCAGTGATTTCTCCTTTTCCTCTGGAATGTTAAGCAAAACAGTGTAGAGAGAGTGGTAGTGTTTTAAATTTACAGAAATAACCAAAAATGCTAGCTCCTAAAAGTAGTTCTAGACAATTCAGTAGTTTGTGTGGGTTTATACATGTTCATAGCAACAAAGGAATAAGAATACATACTGGGGTGGGGAGGATAGTGCTGGTTAAGCAGGAACAACTATTTTTTTGTTGTTGCATTTTTTTTTAAAGTGAAATACTAGCTAGGTGTGGTGGTCCACGCCTATAGTTTTAGCACCTAGGAGGATGAGGCAGGAGGATCTTGACCAGATTAGGCTACATAACAGGACCCTCTCTCAAATCACCCCCCGCCCCGCCAAGAGAAACACTTGCTCCTCTCCTTATGTGGTTCCATTAGGCAAATTGCCAAGCTATTCAGTGTGTTTTTTTTAATTATTAATTTTTAAATTGCACCATTTTATAATTTAGTATTGGTTTTCAGTGTATTTTGCTCCTTTTTTGGTACAGGGGATTGAACTCAGGACCTTGCACAAGGCAGACGTGGCACCACTGAGCTACATTCAAGGCCTGGGAAATGTTTTTCTACAGTGAAGGGAAAAAGGAAAAGTTTCAGTGCCCAGGCCTGGCTTACATCTATTTATAATGTGTTCCAGTAGCTCCCTTGGTTTGGAAGCAATTTTCTTCAGTAATTGGTTTTTTTTCTGACTAATGTTTCTGTCCAAGCAATCTAACACCAGGCGAATGGTTACGGCGAACCCCCTTCCTTCCCACAGCAGCGTCTCGTCTGGTGCATGCTTTCATGCAGACCGGCGGCTCTCTTCATAAAACTGCCCTTTATGCCCAGATCCTTGCTGCACTATTCTTTGAGCTCTCTTAAAGTTAAGGTTTTTGTTTCTCTGTGTGGCTTTTGAGGGTGGGGGATGGTGGTTGAAATATCTTCTGACCCTTCATGGAGAGGAAAAGGGAATAGAACGACTCTGCTTTTGCTGTGAGGGGTGAGAGTTGGGGAGGAAAAAGTGACTCACTTAAGTATAACTGTGGATTCTATTTTCTTCCATCAGTTTGTTACAGCCTTAAGTAGCCACCTACGCTTACTGTCTTCAGAATGCTATTACCAATAAGAACAAACAGCATAGTGGATTTCACAGTGCATAACTTAGGAGGCGTTATATTAAATTGCCTATTGGTAAATAAGAATCCCAGTTGCCAAGCAACTTCCCCCTCCAGGGACCTGTTACCGCCATGAGACTTTAGAAAACATTATTCCAGATCACTGTGGAGCTTAATGGGTGTCCCTTATGTATGTTCCTTGCAGGTCTTTTTCTCTGTCTGCTTAGTGTAAATAGATAACTTTATTAAACCTAAAAGATTACTGATGGTAATCCATCTTTTTTGGGGGGTGTGGTACCGGGAAATCAAACTTGGGTCCGGAGCTTGTGAAACAGGCGGCAGAACCTTGAGCTAAATCCCCTGGTCCTCCATCTCCTTATTCACCCAAATACTGATATGTTACATAGAGATGGGTTTATAATTTTACATAGTAAATCAGTAGACAGACTGATTAGTTTTTATCAGCCTTTTAAATATAAAATTCAGTATATTTAGACATTTAGAGGGGTACTGTGGATTAAACCCAGGGTCTCATGCATACTAGGCAAGTGCACCACCACCGAGCTACATCCCAGCCCTATTTTGGACAAGATCTTTTAGGGTCTAATTCTAAGGGATGGATTAGATGCCTGGATGCTTTAGCTTTGTGTTCGTCAAAGTGAAACAAGGACCAGTGCTTAGATTGGAATACAAAGTAAATAAGATTTAAAGATGAAAATGAAGAGAAACTGATGATACATGAGATAGATGGAAGGAAAAAGCAAGCAAGCAAAATTCCTTTGATAACAAACAGGTCCAAGTTGACTGGGAATAAGTTTGTAACCTTTTAAGCGTTAAAAGAGAAATTAATAAGCAATTACTTTTATAGGGTTGGATTAGGCATCCCCTAAGTTTTTTTCAGTTCTGTGGCTTCATAATTTATGTAATTTGCTGAGCTCCCAAATAAAACTAGTCTGTTGGTATTTATATTTTAAGAGAAAAATTATTTTACCGTTGCTGAAATCTGCCACTATGTACTTTTCAGGCTTATTTCATAATATCTAAATTCTTGTTTTTAAACGGAGACCAGTAACCTACAGGTGAGGATTATTAGTTCCTTTTTATTCATGTGTCCTCCCTAACCCCCTTGGTGGCTTCCCAGTCTCTCACTGGTCCTGTCTTTCTCTCAGGAAAATGGGGTGGGGATGGTTGTTCACAATCATGACTGTGAAATTACATTGTGTACTTAAACATCTCTAAATACTCATTCATTTTAATCCCTCTTCATTTTATGTGAGCCACTCCATATGTAGCCTAGCTATTAAAAATTGTGGAAGGTTTCCCTTATTAAAAGTAGCAGTAATTGTGAAATTTGGTTTTAGTCATGTGAAGTGTTCATAATTTTAAAGTAATCTTTATTGTTTTCATTATGAATTGCACAGTGGAAATGCTCATGGTTCATTTACTGTTTTCTGCTTTGAATTTTACTCATTCAAATCATATAAAAATGCATGCTTGTTGGAGAGTTAGAAAGCATAGAAATAAATTTAATATAACTTCAGTGTCAAGAGTATTGGGAAATAATAGTGCTCCTCACTTATTTCAAGACAAGGGGCTACTTTCTCATGGCCTGCTGCTGCCTTCTAGTGGTTAATCCTCACATTTTCTTTAACTAGCTCCAAATTCCTTGTGGTGGCCTTGAAATGTTGAGTAGCATGGTTTTTGGCATTTCTTAGTACCTGTTTTGGTGGCCATACCTTACTGTTATATAAAACTTATGTCAAACTAATTCATCCTTTGTTTTCAATAATCTTGAGATTCTGTTTTCTTTTTTATTTTTTCCTTTTAAGTATAACCATGAAAAGTTTTTTGTTACGTCCTCTACTAACCAATTTCTCAGATTGCATAGTTTAGTTATGTTAGCAGTATGCATTATCAGTGGCTTACATGCGGTTGATGCAAGGTTAAATTTATTGCTTTACATTTCTAACTATTATTAACTAATAAATTTAGAGACAGAGTCTCTCTATATTTCAGACTGGCCTTGAGCTATGTAGCCCAGACTGGCCTCAAACTCAGTGTGATCCTCCTGCCTCAGCCTCCCTTGTGCATAACCACATCTGGCAATTTTTAATTTTTAAATGGCTTGATTCCTTGTCATCTGTCCCATTCCAGTTGAGTTGACTTTGTACTTTAGCTTCATTTTACTGAGTTCCAGTGCCCTCTACTGTTTGTTTTCTCTTTAAAAGTAAATTAGCATGATCTTAGCTCTAGTTAGTGTGACCTTTTATTAATAAAAGTTGTGTATGCATCTATGATCCTATTACCCATCACGTGCACTAGCACATTACAGTCGTATTTACGCACGTTAAAACTGTTGCCAGTTCTTTAGGTTTTAAAAGACATTTTAGCTGTATTTTATAACGACACTTAGTGCTTTATTTACCTCATTCCTCAATTCTGGCAAAACTATAATAGTAGTCAAGTACGAATATTTTTGTATATTTGACTTCATTCATTCACTCATCGTTGTGCTGGGTGTTAGCCCCAGGGCCTCATGCATGCTAGGTAAGTGCCTACTTCGGGGGCCGTACCGAAGAGTATTTTTTTATGTATGTAGAAAATTCAGAATAATCTACAAACTCCAGGTGGGTGTGGCAGGTGCACGCCTGTAATCCCAGGCTGAGGAGGCTGAATCAGGAGGATCCTGCAAGTTTGAGGCCAGCTTGGACATAGGGAGACCCTGTCTTACAAAACAAACCAAAAACAATAAAAAACTACAATCAGAATAATAAATCTCTGGTTATGAGATCACTGTGAAAATCAGTTGTGCTGGATGTGCTGGTGCACACCCACAGTCCTACAGTTGGGCAACTTAAGTTTAGCCAGACTCCACCTGAGCTTCCCAAAGGCTGGCAGATTTCTGAGGACACTAGGTGCTGAGCTGAGCGGGGGAGGGCATGGTCTGTGTGGAAACTTGAAAGTCAGTCTTGCGTGTTTCTAGGGTTTGTTTCTCTTCCTGAATCTTATTGCATTTGCAGAATGGGAAACCTGTGGATAAACCATGCCTTAGTCCATAGGGCTACAGTGTAGTCACTCGGGATGACAAGACATAGGAGTGCGATCTACCCAGGGGCTCTGGTGCATCTCAGGAGGGCAGGCAGCTCCCTGGGCAGGGTGGGCCTTGGGCCCTCGTGCAGGCTGGTGGGCAGTGACAGGTCAGTGGGGCAGACCTAAGACTGTGCCCCTGGTGGGCTGTGACTGAATAGAAAATAACCCTCCCCCCAAATGATTTTTAAGTATTGTTCTTTATGTAGCTCTCTTGGTACTTTTTTGTTTTGGTTTTTGTTTTTTGGCACCGGGGATTGAACTCAGGTCCTTGCACTTGCAAGGCAGGCCACCGAACCGCTGAGCTAAATCCCTGGCCCTCTCTTGGTACTTTTTAAAAGCTCACGTTGGCATCTTCTTCCAGTGTTAAAGGCATCCCTTGGCTCTGCATTCTCTGATAAGTAGATTAGCTCAGATTTAAAATTCTTAGTCACATTTATTGTCACAAATTGTTCTGTATTAATACTAATACTGCCTTTTTCAATAAAGATTGACTTTTGTTGCAAAAAACTTTAGCAAGACTGTCTCAAAACAAAAACTAAACATAAAAATCAGTTATGTTTTTGTGTAATAGAGGAATCTCATGATGTGTAGAACATTACGAGAATCTGCCTTGTGTTAAAGACTGGATGGCATTTGAGGGCATTTCTAACTCAATGAACTGGAGGGTGTAATCCTCTCTGGAAGCCCTTTCCCACCCTCTTTTTGGTGTTCTTAGGGTTTCTCCCCGAACTCATGATCTTGTGCTTGTGAGATAGGTGCTGGAACCACTGAGCTAACTTCCTGGCCCCGTGTTCTTAGGGCTTCTTGCCGCGGAACTTCTGCCTGTCCACTCCACTACATTTCGCTGTATTCCCAGAGCTTCCTCATTCCAGACACCGACACCCAACTTTCTAGTGTGCATCTCTATTCCATTGTCTTACAGGCACCTCAAGCCTATCTTTTAAACTGTACACACTCCATAGCCCCCAAATCTGCTTTTCCTTAGGAAAATAAATGTCTCAGTAAATGGCATCAGCGTTCCTCTTGGGAGTTTTTGTTTGTTTGTTTGTTTGTTTATTTGTTTTTTTGAGACAGGGTCTCACTATGTAGTTCAAACTGCTCTGGAACTCACTGTGTAGCCCAGGCTGGCAAACTCAACAGCAATCTTCCTGCCTCAGTTTCCCAAGTGCTGGGACTACAGGCGTGCACCACCACGCCTGGCTCCTCTTGGGAGTTTGTTGACTAACTTCATGTCACTATTTCACTTCCCATGGTTTAAATTGTCTGAGGATAGGAACTTTTTATGTCTTACTCAACAGCAAATTCAACAGTGCTTAGTGCAAGACTTGCCATGCCATTTGGGCTCAGTTTATATGTTGCTGAAAACCTCTGTCTCTCTTCCTTCATATTCACGCTTGGCTCCTGAACCCTGTTGACTTTTTTTTTTTTTTTTTGAGACAGGGTCTCTACATAGTTGAGACTGAACTGGAACTTACTATGTATGTAGCCCAGGCTGTTCTCGAACTCACAGTGATCCTCCTGCCTCAGCCTCCCAAGTGCTGGGATTATAGGCGTGTGCCATCACATCCGGCTTGAACCCTGTTGACTTTTAACTAAGTGCCTCTAAACTCCATTCATTCCTTCTTGTGCCTCTAACCCCTGACATGGCCAAGCCTTCCATCCTTCTGTCAGCTGTCTGAATTCCTGTAAACAACGAATGGGAACAATTTGAAAGAAAGCTGTTAGGTTAGGACCTAGTTATGTTGCTGTTGAATTATCTGATGGGCAACATTAAAGCTTTACTTTTGCCTTTAAAAGATTCAGCTTTATTCAAACTTACTCGGGTTGTCATAGATGAAGTCATATTTAACTTTCTTTTTGAGAGGTACTATGATTATTGGGGTGAACTCATCTATACTAAGAGCATGGAGGAAGGTAAATTGAGAAATAAAGAAGATGGGATAATTGAAGATCTCTCCCTTGTTATTTCATATTCCTTTTTATCAACATTCCTGCTCTCTGCTAATATATTACCTGTAACTTTGCATGTAGAGTGGTGGCTCACACTTCTCTTTGAAAGTTTTTTTTGTGGGGGAAGTGAACTTGGGACCTTGTCCTTGCGAGGAAGGCATCAGAACCACTGAGCTGAATCCCTGGCCCTTCTCTTTGAAACTTAACAATCATAGCACCATTGACTTGGCTCTTAGAGAGGCACCCAACTCAGTATGGTGAATCAAACTCTCTAATCTGACTTTGCTTTTTTTTGGCGGGGGTGGGGGGGTGGGTACCAGGGATTGAACTCAGGACCTTGCACTTGCAAGGCAGACACGGTGCCATTGAGCTAAATCCCCAGCCATCTTTGTGCTTTTGATATTAAGATGGTGATAGGGGCCAGCGATTTAGCTCAGTGATGCTGTCGCCTGCCTCACAAGTCAAGGTCCCAAGTTCGATCTCCAGTAACAAACAAACAGAAAAGTAAGATGGTGCTATTCTTGGCTTCTTACATAATAAAAATTCCCAAACCCCAACCTTTCGGTTCGGATTGTTTGTACAGGTAATAGTATCTAACTACTTTCTTAGCAGACATTTCTTAGTGATAAATCCAAAGGTTCTGGTGGAACAGGACTTAAAATTGAAGAGTATAATCTCTTGTCCTTTTGAAAATTTCTTCCTTAGGTGTGTTAATGCAGTTGACTTTTCCCCACTCTCGTGCAGTTGAAACATCAACTGTCAGACCATATATTCATATATGAGGCATTTAGTGGTTGACAAGATTTCACAGGTGCCACACACTGAAATTGGGAGGGTCGTTTTTGTTTACTTGAACAGCCATGAGCCAGGGACCTTGTCCAACTTGTTCTGTGGAGCCAAGTGTCAGAGTAAGTGCACGACACATAGGGTTTGTTTTTTTTTTTTTTTTTGGTAACG